ATATGCATTTTATTTTCGCAAATAACTATTTAGTTTCAGAAAAATCTGTAAAATATCAAAATGTTTTGTATGTAAATTTCGAATATATCGTTATAATAATTTTGCGAATATCTACGAAAATAAACAGAGATTTATGAAAATATATGCAAAAATTTTCGAAAATAAACGGAGATTTACAAAAATATATACAAAAATTTTCGAAAATAAATGAAACAAAAAATTCCGGAGATTTACGAAGGTGTCATATAACTCCGAAAATTTAACAAGGCAAAAATTTTCGAAATATTTCGCCTTTAAAAATTTCCTGATGTGTGTCTTTTTTTTTGATTAAAGATATATAATAATATATAACTTAAGAATGGCATAACTATTGTGGAGCAATGTCCCAAAGGGTCTAAATATTTTTGATTTACCAGAATTGCTAGAACAGATCTTATATTTTTTAGAAATCGATCGATCCCTCTATTCCACTTTATTCGTCAATCGCCTTTGATATTACTGCAGTGCTTCTATTCTATGACATCGCATTGAGTTTTTCATAGAAGATTGTCAACAAAGCCAGGATAGTAAAATTACATCTGGAGCTCTTTATTGGTGATTGATAAAGTTAAAAAGAGTTATGCATGAAAAAATAAAGCTACTCTATTGTTCAAAGATGGTATATCTCAGATTGGAAGGTTTAAAAATCTCAGATATTTTAATAAGTACAATTCTGCGATCGTGTCCGAATATACGTTTTCTCATTCTTGATAAAAGTAAGGGTTTCACTAATATACCAATTATAAAAATTACAAGATATTGCCCAAAGCTATTACATCTGAGTCTTAATTCATGTATATGTCTCACTAATTAGTGTATCACTGAAATAACACGTTCTTGTCTAAAACTTAGACATCTTGAGCTTGGCAACTGTTCGATTGGTAATGAAACTATCGAGAAGATAGCTGGCAACTGTACTAATTTGAAATATCTTAGTTTGAAGGGGTGTAGAAGGATTAGTAATGAAGTGCTGAAAAAACTCAATTCGAAAATTAGCGTAAGCAAGCCTTCGGCTAAAATCGAATGTTCAGATTATTTAGATGATGAATTCTTCGATTCTGATCTGCCTCCACTTATTCCAATCTTTACCAGTTAACAAAATAGGTTAGTTTCAAACAAGTCCTTTAGAGACTACTATTTAGTCATATATCAAATAAAACGGATTGTACTTCTGCAATTATTAATTATCTCAAAGAGAATCCTTCAACGCGAGTTATAAATAATTACATTTATTAGTGAAGAATGGGTAATTAATTTTCGTTTAACGAATTATATTAATCTAATGTAAGAAAACAAGTCGGTCTACCCATCTGCCATATTTAATTTTTTTGTCTAGCTTAGAGGATTATGCGTCCAAATTTGAGACAAACTCTTCTGATCTTAAGAATGTATAATTATTTATTGAGTTATTTTTTCCTGATAATATATATCATTAAATAATATTTGACATGATTTTCATAGAGACACTTGTAGAAGGAAACATTTCAGTTAAAGCGTTAATTGATACAACATCTAAATTCAATACTATTAGCAAGAGCTTGTTCGATAAGCTTAAAGAAGATTATGAGTTGAAATGTTTATCTAGTGATGAATTGATTGGTAAAGAAATAAAAAGCTTAGATTTACAATTCCGTTATAAAGGGAAGTGACGAAGCTTAGATGTTACCGAAGTAATAGACTTTCAAATTCACAAAAATTCATCGTTCAATCTGGTATTGGAACAAGATTGGTTATGGGCGTATGAAGTAAAAATAAACTTTAAATTTTCTCCTGGAACCTATGAACAATATGGTATTATTACAGACCCAAAGAATCATTGCTTTGTAATAATAGATGATATAAGTATTCCATTAATCGAAGAAAATAGTAATAAAACCAGTACTAGTAAAAATAACTTATCTAAATTAATGAAATTTAAGTCCGATCTATCAATAGAGGAGATTACAAATATAACCAAGAAACTTCTTTCAAACGCTAAAGATAATAAACACTAAAAGAGCTATCATGGGATATTTCACAATATACCTCCCGCACCTTCAACACCCAGAAGATTAAATAATGATGTACTCAAAAATAGCAGAGCTAGCAAGAATAAGAAATATTCTAAAGTAGATTTAGGCGATGGGTGTGGAAAGCTTTCAATAAAAATGTATCTCAATAATATTTGGAAGTCAGTTTATTCTATAAAAATGATATAGAGTATGGAATTTTTGAAAAACTCTGTATTATTGAATATGAACTAAGTTGTATAAATAAAGGAAAGCTACCATGAATAAAATTTGAGACAGATTCTTCTAATTCTTGCTTACACCAAAATAAGAGCAAGAAAGGTGAGGGTAAGTATTTCACGAATTCAGATACTGACACTTCCGATACAAGTACTTCTTATTCTTCCAATTTAGGTCCGGAAGGTGTATGTAAGGCCACAGTTGTAAAAAAAGCGAAAATGCCACAAGAAATAAATTAATCATCTGGTAAAGTTTATTAATCGATATATAAAGAGTGACTTAGATTAACTATTTTTACATATTACGTTTCCATTACCCGTGATCGAAGTATATGTTTGAGATAACATGGATGCAGAGAAATAAGCACTTTACAGGTTAGATCCACATGTTTTTGTGTGACCTAATTTCTCACATATACTCTGATTCGGTATTTTTTATTAATTTTAATGTTTTTTGCTAATCCTAAATTCATCTTTCCTATATATTAATTCTACTATAATAAAAACCATATCTTTCCTTGTGCCATTTCGAATATAATTCCAATTTGAGTTGGGATCAATAATTACTGGTAACATGTGAGCGGCTATATAGCTGATATGAGGTGAGAAAAGGTGAATTTTTTGGCCACATCAGCTCTGTTTAAAATTTAAGTTATGTCTACTAATATCTTATGTCTCGAAACACTTGCATTAAATATTTTTAAAGATTCATCTCCAAAAAAAATTGCAAATAATATTAATATTCCTGAACTAGACCCATGCTTGTTATGCAATCAAGAGTTCTTTTTGTTCGAAATAAAAAATCTGATTACCATACTTGTCTGTGGACATATATACCACCGTGACTGCATCGAAAATTCTATCAAGAAACATTCAATGTGTCCAAAGTCCGATTACAAGAAAGAAGTGGAGTTTACGATTGATAACATGCCCGGAAGTCAGAATACCAATGATTTGATGGATATATTCCTGACATTATTTAAAGATACTAAGATACATGAAAGCACATTTAAAAGTGTACTAATGATTATATATTATTTCCAGATAAACCATCTAACAAAAAAGTAAAGAAACAGGTTAAAAAAAAAGATTCACCTATATTAAAAAAACTTATCAACAAATTGACTACCAGTGCTTCTGAGGATGCCTTTACATTTAGCATAACATATACTGAAAATACTACGAATTTTTTACAACTCAATAATAATATTACCCAAGTAGAATCAAAAAATGAAAGCACAAATCGGAAACTCATTTAGTATTACTATTCATTTGGGGATACTTTATCAAAATGCTTATATTATTATAAAAGTTTGAAACATGGGGAGTTAGTATCTCAAGCATTAGTTAACGAAGAGGTTCGGGAAAAAATTAGTGAAAAAATTTCTAATGATACTTTTCGCAAAAGAATTGAAAAGGCACAAAAAATATATGCTCTTTTTAATAGTATTTTTAATGATAGAGGGAAGGAAATGATAAAGCAAATTAAAACATTTTTGGCATCATCTATTTCGAAGTTGAGTTGAGAAGATATCGAATATGTAATAACCAAGATAATTCGTTCTAATCAATAGTGTCTATTTATCACGTGATTACTGCGCCTGTGAACTCGAGTTCACAGTTATGTAAAAATAAAGTTAAGGTACTTTGTAATCCACTCCGCGTAATTTATTATTTTTTATTTCATATTTTCTAAGTGTAATATGCATCATATTAGTTATTTACCGTAATAGCAAATTCCCATATTTCGTGAATTTGTGCATATACTTCTAACCATTTTATATACGCAGAAAAAATAGAGACAGAGTCTCATTACTTTGTAATAAAAGATAAATTCGCTTTATTACCAGATTGATAAATTATTTTTATGCATACTGTAGGCTCGAATAGCTATGCTTCTGCCATAAATTAATATTCACAAATTAAACTATTCTTCCTTAATAAATTTCACCCCCTAGTGACATATAATGATGAGTCGATCAATGATCAACTTATGTAATAACACGAAAAATATATATCATGAACATTGTTTTTATACTGAAATGAAAATCATACTAATAAATTTCTACTGATGCGAATTTGTGTTTTTTATTTGACGAAATACAATTACATCTGAGATAATAACTATTTTTATATCGAAGCAAAAACTAAGTTATAAGATATATATATTAATCATCCATATATATCATAAATTATTTTGATTATAGGTCAAAATTTTAAATGCTTGATTAACGAAATTCTTAATTTTTTGTATCCTTTCTGAAATAACAATTTCTAGTTTTTCATCATACCATACCTCGAGAAGAAAAATTCCGTTATCCTGATATATACATCTTTTCTGCTGATTACAATTAACAATATCCTCAAGTTTTTTAACATCTTTATATCAGCTAGTGTGATGAAGCCGATATTGAGCTTCCTGTACCTCTAATACAATTCGGTATTTTTAAAAGAATGCATCAAGTTCTAATCCATTTAAGAAAGGAGGGCGATACTCAATTATTAGTTTTTCATTTAGAATTTCTGCAACTATCTTAATGCACTTATTTTGGAATTTACGATTTTTCTTAGATATCAGCTTCTGTTCCAATTTCATAATTCTAACCATAAGATCATCTTTTTCTTTCAGATCTGTTCTAGTTTTACGATTTTGACTATAAGCATTGCATTTTCAGCCTTAAGTCTGGCTTTCTCAAACTCAAGACTGGCTTTCTTATCCAAAAGCTTAGCTTCCTCTTCTAATAAATCTAGTTCAGATTACATGGTTAATAATAACTTTTATATAAATGCAAATTTATTTAAAACTTCGAGTTGATTAGAATTCGAGAACGATATATAGGTAGTAAAAATCGTGATCAAAAATAAGAAAAAATGGCCACGAATCTGCAGATCACTTTTGTCAAGAAAATTATTTGAAAAAATAAACATATGATACATTACACAAAAAATAACATATGACACATTGTACGTTCCTCTAATCAAAAATTTTTATTAATAAATATGTGATAAAAATACATGATAAAAATACAGGATATCTGGCCCTTTAGGGATACCTCTTTGAAGCATATATGTTCGATTAACAATATTACCTTTCTAGCTAATTATCATCTATGTCAGAACTTATTGTTGAACTTTGTCATTTGAGACATGCTGATCTACTTTTTGATAAATGGAATAATAGTGATATGTTGACAATATACGTGTTGCACAAATTCCAAATCATTTGGGATTTGGGACGTCAAAATTTCAAATTACTAGTATTTAGAATTTGGGATTTGGGATTTCAGCAAAAAATACTAATCATAATTTGAGATTTGGGATTTGGGATTTTGGCATTTGGAATTTTGGCATTTGGATTTTGAATTTGGGTGACAAGTATAGTTGACAATTGTAATATTTCATAAAAGCAATAAAGTTTCTACAAATTAGGTCACACCTTCATCATTACTAGGTCGTACAGGTATTTTTACAGAACGAAGATGAAAAAGATGATGGATGTTATCACTGTCTTTAATGAGAATATTTAAATGTAACATATCTCCCGCAATCTGCACACTAAGAACTCCAAACTCATTTTTACTAGGTCTACAGGATTTATGTATCCAGTACATTCCATCATTCATCTCACGTCATAATTTTACCTTATCATTATTTTTTTTGCGCTCAGTGTAAATCAGACGTGAATATTCAACAAACATAAGTTCATATAACTTTTCTCGATGCTTCTCCATAAACATAACATCAGGACGTTTACCTTGTTTACCTTTCCCCCTCCTATCAGCACTAGCTAAACTTTGTCTTTCTATACTATATAAAAATAAATTAGCTTATTTAACATTACATGAAATGTACAGTTTGAGATCACTAAATTTTGGCAAACTTATGTGCTAAGAAAAGCATATTTTTTAATTGGAAGTTTTCTTAATGAGCTTCGAATAAGAGGAACTATTACATCGGTCACATAGGTCCTCTCACTTTGGGCATTTGCAAATTCTTCATCAAAGGCAAGATTTCTCCAGATTTTACATAAGGAATTAAGTATATCATCTGTAACATTTGCTAAAGTTTCATCACTTTCTATCTAAGTATTATTATGGGTAAGTCGTTGTGGTAAACCTTCCATATCACCATCATAAAAATTTTTCACAAAGTCAGTACACATATCCTGAATGTTGGAAGGTAATTGTACACACATTTTGTGCGACGGTCTCATAAAAGAATTTTTTGCTGATCCTGATAAGTTCTGAATTAAATTAGACTCGTCACTTAATACTTGATTAGCTAGTGGTTCTCGCCATGTCAAATCAGATTCTGATATATTATTCAATCCTTCATATATTTTTATTGCAAATTGAGAAGAACTTTGCTAAAAATAAAATATCAGTAGGTATTAAATGTCATGCTCCGCATAGTTATACAGATCTGTTAATTATTAGTGAAGCTGACATGATCAAATATTGGTATATATAAATATTTACCGTAAGCTTTCTTTTCAAATCCATCATATTTCTACTAATTTTCTACCTAGTAAGAAGTCTTTCCAATTTTGCTCTTTTTATATTATACACACTACGAACACCTTCAAAAGTATCATTAAACTGGTGCAAAGAAAAGATATATATTAGATTTTCAATACTTATAAATACATTTTCGATAATATCACAAGCTTATGTCATCAGAATATTATATAACAAGGTTACAATTTCTCCGTGGCCTGCAGATCCATGCCTCCCCGTTTTCCACATATAAATTTTAAAACTTGTTTAACTAGAACTAGAATATTCTTATGCTTCTGCGGGTATTGATCTCCCAGTACTAACAGACTAATGAATACCCAGGATTGCTTTTATTCTTAAAGAGTTGAATCTAAAATAAATAGATTGATAGGCTCTCCCCTTGGTTAAAGTCTCCACAAGTTCGAAAATTTAATATTGGAAATGCGTCAATCATCATACGATACTAAAAAGCTTATTTTATTTTTTGAAACAATGATAACTAACCTGTATAGAAATCCTAAGAAGCTTATTTTGAGCAATCAAATTATTGGAATATATATTTGTTGAAGCATCGATAGCTCGGTTAACTATTTCTCTCAATACATCTTGTTGAATTAATGGTTCGTCCTCTATTACTTGATAAATAACTGAAAAAGCAATTATATGCTCTATGGGAAAAGTAGTAAAAAATTCATAAATCTTATTATATAATTCAGTAAACATTTTACGTTTAGATTTGTAATAAGAAGAATATTAGTTTTGTTGTATGATATTGTAACTGAATCCTTAACAACACCACCATACTTTCCTTTTAACATGTCTCATTATTCCCTTTTTTAGTATTTTGACTTATGGATTAAAAAAGAAGTCAGTATATGTACGAGAACAAAGAGTATGTATATATCTCAAGTCGATTATTCAAACTAGGTTATCAATATCCCTATTGGTAAAAGGTACAACATAGTACTTTAGTTTTGCGATAAATATAAATATGAAGTTGGGAGAATAAAAAATAATGTTATGTATCCGCTTTTGAGAAATTTTTCACATAGATATACAGGGTGTAAGGGGTACTAATTAAATTTGGTAATCGGTATATCACATGACCTAATGATACATGTGGGTTCTATTACATTCGAATTCATTCTATAACACATATCACATGATAGGTTAATAATTTTAGTGAAGATATTGAGTTACACAAGTTATTACTTACTATAAACTGAAAATATATCGTGATAAAATTATGTGTTAATAATTATAGTTAAAAATGATTCATTATCGACATCTGCTCATGTTAAAAATCTCATAACTATTTACCAGTGTAATTTATGAACCAGTTTTGATGCTTATATTCGAGAATGAAGCATATGGCTAAAATAGATTTTTATTCATGTGGCAATCATGGGTCATTTGTTGATTTTATATGTTCTGTCAATTGTCATAAGCAGCTGTACATAACTAATATCTATATAAGCAATTTTATATAAATACAAACGTACTGCATATATTTTTTTACAACACATTTTAAGTATCTTGATACTAGCTCTGCTATCGTAACAAATATTTTCATCATATAACTTCTGAAACTCTCCACAACTCTAAAGATCCAATGTCTCATATTTCTCGGTATAATAACAGGAGTTATACAATCTGGCTCTTTAGAAATACATCTTCGAAGCATATCAACGTATAGAAAATAATTTTGAATTGGATCCCACCTTCTCATGACTTTATCACTCGAAGCCAGACAATTGTAGTTAACACCCTCTCTAGCATTGTGGAACAATGTAGCTCTGCTTCTCAGAAAAGAAAAGTAGTTAACCTATTTAAGATCTGGCTTTAAGCAGGTACTGCGAAAAGGTGGAATGATGAGCTAGAAAGATTAACAATGTTCTCAACAGTAGATAGTCTTGACCATACCAGCTCTGCTAATTCTGTATCCCTATATATCAAAACAACTTCTTTATCTTTTAAGTGTAGATCTAAATTAACAAAAAATGAATTCAGATATAATCATATATATTGAACCAAATCTGATAGGTCAAAATACCTCTAAATATATTTAAATCTCATATAATCGTTAAATATGTCCAGAGCAGAGCATAATATAAATAGAAGACTCAAAAGAACTGGTGGGCATAATATACTCAATAGAGTTATCGATGCTGAGAAGCCTTATGATTCTATTAGTATAATCTTTGAAGGGAAAACACCCATTCAGTGAGCCTGTCGTGTTAGAATCACTCTTCAAAATTTAATAGATCCAGGAGAAACAAGATCTACATATCACAAGCTATGTCTCCACGCTTCATATGTCCAAGGTACGAATTTTGATAAATATGATTACAGCAGAGGTAGACCATATGAAGATAGTACTGCAATATGTTTTTGTTGTATGAAACTTATGCATATCAATGTTAATTTAGGTCCAAAAAACAAGTCAATTTGATTTAATGAAAGATCATTATGATTATAAATGCTCAAGACCACAATTCATTTATGATTCCTCAAGACCACAAACTGAGTTTGAGTATGCAAGGGTTATACAAAAACTTTGGAGAAATTTTAGAGAAAGGGAACCATCAGATGCACAACTCACCTGGAACAGTTTATCAAATGATAATACTCCAGATGATAAGAAATTTCTAGGTTTAACTTGACGTAAAGTGAAAAATACTTGGACTCAAGAACAATTTAATCAATGGCATACTAAATGGATTACAATGTATAAACAAAATAATTCTAGTATTCCTGTAGATATTT